AACAAAAACAAATTGAAACGAGACATCAGCCAACTAACCACACAACAGCAACTATGAACAGCTTTATAGATAACAAACTTTCAGCCACACAAACAAACCATAAAAACAAAAAGTCATCAGCAACAAATTGTCAGCACTATGAATTTAGAAGCATATTAGCACCACAAAGTTAAGAACATGATGGCAAAAAGAACAAGCCGCCAACGTCGGCGTAAGCTTAAATTATTGAAAACATCAGCACTGCTCTCGTACAAGGTTGAATATCGATGCAAAGTGGCAAGCAAGAAGCGCTGGGAACGTGTCATTCGCAACTCTAACACGCCAAATATCAAACAAGTTTGAAACAAACACGACAACAAGTGTAAAAATATTGAAACAAATGCACTCTAAACAAACAAATAAATGTAGGTACGTTTAAATATATCCAAAAGCAAACAAATCGTATTATTAAATAAAAACAAATTATAATTACAAATTCAACAAATATAGCTAACATAAATTTATTACATGCTAACATAACAACACACACCAAAATATCAACATAAAAAAATGCAAGAGTGCATGACGAAAAAGCTGACGAAAAAGTTCAAATGAACCTTGCAAATAAAATCAAACGGAAAGAAGCATCTGAAGCAAATCTGCGTCAGAATATCTGCAAGGAATACAACAGAAAAGGAATTTCGTCTTCAAAGACCACTCAACAGAGATCGTTATTATTTCATTATTTTCAAAGAATCGCACCCTGACTGAAGTACAAATTATTATTTTGCATTGCATATCTCAACGTATCAACGTATCATCCTCCTCATTCCTCATTCCATGCAGAGCCAGTTATCTGAAAGCTGCTCTCATTTCAGTTCTCTCTCTTGCATACCAGACCACCTGCATCTTGTACTCGTTCATAACGTTCTATTAAACCTTATCTTTCATAAATCTTCATATCTCGCTGTTAAATGAGCAATTTGGTTTAGAATATAGTCATTATATTATTTCTATCTTACTGTTTATATCATATTCATTATAGCAAAACATTTTTACTGTATTGTGGCAAAAAAAATAACAAACACATTTGCATTTCATTAAATCATTGTTCATCAAATCAAACCATCACAGTACGTTAGAACATAATTTTGCATCACAACACAGGCAGATATTTGAGAGTATTTCTTACAAATTTTTACAAACATTTTTCAGAAATGTTGGCACATGCAATTGTTATTTCGTGCAGAGTACATGGTTTGGGTGTTGTGATTCATTGACGAGGGTGTACCAACTGCTCCCATCAAATGGAAAGCTTATTTTAGCGCCTCGTAAAACAATTTCTCGTTTTTTGTTCTTAATTAATTTTCTCATCAGCTGCTACTAGAACGGTGACATCCAGACTTGAGAGTAATTTGTTGCTTGCCCTGATGAAAAAATTGTAACAACAAGCTGCTCCTTAACTGAAAATATGTAATCAGGATTGAGAATCCATTCTAGAGATTTGTATCAGTTTGAATTATAAGTTTTGCGAAAGAAGAGCATGCAAATGAAATCATTAGCAAAGAGCTAGGTGAAATAATTTCAACATGGGTACGAGTATTTTTCTAAAAAGATTCGCAAATTGAAAATTGAACGAGATGGCGAAAATTATGTGAACGTTTATGGCCGTATTAATGACGATAATGATAATGATGACAACGACGGTGATGATGACGACGACGAGATGATGATGATAATGATGCTGACGACGACGATGAAAATTTATAATATTATAATCTGAAAAAAAGGTCTGTGCGAGAAATACAAATTAACGATCAAAATAAAAGTAAATAAAAAGCAATAAAATAAAATTTGTAAAAATAAAAACGAGTATGAATGAAAGAAAAAAATTTGCAAAGGAAGAAGATAAAGAGGAAGAGGATTGAAGATTTAGGAGGGGACTGTACACGAGCGTTTCAGGGATTTTCATGGATTTTTTGCTCGATATTCTCTCAGTGATTTTTTCATTAAATTTTAAACATATAAATACGCAATCACGTACTGACGATGCGTAGAGTGCTGTGCGTACGTCCAGTGTACATTCATTTTTTTTAAAGTTTAAAGTGCTGGTGAGTATTTGCGAATTTAACAGTTTACTTTGCCTTATAGAAAGTGGGAGAGTCTTCGCACGCTGGCTGCACGCACGCAAGATAATCACGCGAGTAATAAAGAAATGAAAGAAAATGAGTTGGAAGTTATTGCTTGCTGGGAGAGGGCTGAATAATGTCAGAATGCATAAAAAGCATTTTCATCATCGTTAAGCACTTAAATATGAATAGATAAGAATTATTCCTCTCTACAACAACATTACGAGTAAATGGGTAGTCTATCGGTGACGTCGTTCTCTTTTTCAATATAACGATGATGAAGGATGTTGATGATAAAGGATGTCAACTACTGCTTCATTGTGCGTGCAACTTAATGGCTCTCCTCGTCTCAAGTATCCGCTGAGTTATAGCATTTTTAATTGTAAATGTGGTATATTCCAATTTCGTTTCTGAATATGATGAATTCCATCAAATACTTGTTGTATTCAAAAACATTTCTGTAACATTAGTTTTTGAATAACATTATTTTTCAAATACAAATAGTGACACTGTTTGAGTATGGAGAGGCATCCAATAATGATGATGTCATCCCAGATTCCCAGCCTACAATCAAGTTACTAATTCTCTCTCTCTCTCTCTCTCTCTCTCTGTCTTTCTCTCTTTCTCTCTCTCTCTCTCTCTCTCTCTCTCTCTCTCTCTCTCTCTCTCATCTCTTCTCACCACCTCACTGCCATCAACCAGTCCAGTTGCTTTCCAGCTGCCCACCTACTTACAGTCCTACACGGGCAAACGACCAAATAAATTTAATCAGCAGACATTCTCCTCTCTGATCTACAGTTGCATTCGCAGCGTGCTTGCCAGCCATAAAGTGGCTAACGTAGTTCTCCCGTCTGCCGAGACAACCGCAACCAACCTTTCGTAATATGTATTATTATTATTATTATTATTGTTGTTGTTGTTGTTGTTATTGTTGTTGTTGTTAATATAAAGCAATAAAGCCGGCCGGCGAGATAAAATTTAAAACATCCATAATAATAATTAATTTGAATAATAACGTGAATCTTACGAACAAACATGTGTCTTTGACCTCATTATAATATTTGACCATACCAGTGACCTTGCAGTATTTTGAGCTGCAGTATTAAGAGAATTAGGCAATGAATCAAAAAATACGCAGGATGGAATGGCCTCTTTATGACGTCATTGTACGAAATTTCAAGTTGTTATTCTGCATCAGGACGGATGATATTGGCGCGAAATTTTAAAAAGAAAATTTTCTTCTAGTCAAGTTTATATTTCATCTGCAAGAATTAAAATATGAATAATTGAAATGTTTTCTTCAGTTGCGGTCTCCATCGGTTGATTGTTGAGTTGGAGGTGTTGCGCTAGCTGTTGTTGTTTGTTTCTGTTGTTGATCATTCATTTGCTGTCTTTTGTTGTTTGGTGGTTGTGTAGCTCTTTAGTTTGGTTATTTTTAGATGCTTGTTTCACGATTTTTCTTTATGTAGTCCACAAGTTTCATAGAAAGATTATGAATATATTTATGAAGTAATTTTTTTCTTTGTTTATGGAAGTTTGTTGGTGAATGTATTTATTTTGTTTTTATTTTGCAGCTCTGACATAGGTAGAACTTTCTTGCTTAAAAAACATTCTATATATGATTTTCGTGCTACAAAGCTGTGCTATTTATACCGCGCAATAATTTCCTATATACAGCACGCATGGCGTATGATAGTTTCTGAGTTTGGGACAGACAGCATTCAAACCAAGTCATGGCGTACTAATCGCGCAAAATATGGAGCTTCTATCGTCTGAGCTAACACGCTGACCTTCCGAGTTTATTAACACATTATAAATAAGTTATCGGCGTTTGAGAAATTTGGTTTTCAGAAAAATTTTGACGTTTGAAAGAACCAAATTTAATTTTCCCTGATAACCTTTTCTAATACTGAGCAAGAATTAGAAGTTGACAGAGTAAATTTTTAAAAGATAGATTCTTAATGAATAAAACCATTTGCTATGGCGATATTCAATCACCCAAATCATTGAAAGTACAAAGTCTATCCATGCTGGACATTTTGTCTGATACTTTCTGAACATTATTCGATAAATTAATTAATTCCTTCATCCATTCATTCCTTTATTTTTTCCTTCATTTATTCATTCCTTTTTTCATTCGTTCGTTCGTTCGTTCATTCATTCATTCATTCAGCAATTCATTCTTTAATTCATTTTCACTTGTTCATATTCATACGGAAACACGAGATCAGCATTGAGACGTGTAGAACATTTGAGACTTGCAGAAGAGCAGGTATGTTGGAAATAAATAATGAAGTCTCGAATGAAGTTGCTCCGCTCAAACCATCCAAATGCATTCACAGGTATTAAACATTTGCTGCTACACTCAACAACGCTTCCATCTTATATGGTGAGCAAATTTTTTCAACACTACATAAAAGTGCACCAACACTGTGTATGTAATATTCTTTTGAACGTATACATATGTATATATACATCTACATATAACTTTAAGTTTAATAACTTGTATGTATTCTGTTTGCAGTGCACTTATAAATCTTAAAACGTAGTTATTAAATATCAAAGAGATCAGTATTATAAACATTTGCACTGTAACGTACTGCATTTCTTATATATGCTAATCATAATCATTTGTGGGTTTCGTGGCCGAGTGATTAGCGTGTCAGTCTACCACTCTCACGGCATGAAGAACATAATTAAAAAAGGATATTTAGATAATATATCTGTAACATTGTAAGTGGTTTTTCGTATGTCAGAGCTGCAATAATAAAGACTAAGCTGATGTCGAAGTTATTTGTTAAGTTTTATAAACTGATCAAACTTCATCTATTATGACGTAATAATATCAAATTCTAAAACAAGACATGAACTTGCATCACCAACTTCACAAACCTTGTTGTAGACCTTAGCCATGCACATCTCAGTCTCGATGACCATTATGCCTGTGCCAAGAATGCCAAACACCAAAGCATAATCCGACACTCGTTTCCTTCGTTCGAAGATCATTTTCCTCTTTCCTAACCTGTAGCCGACGTTATTTTTAGACAAAGAGCCAACCGTCGATCTGGTGGCTGTGGTCGTCGTAAGTGTCGCCGTCGTTTGTGGCGTTGTGGCGTTAGCCAAACAAAAGGAAGGTGGCGAAGATGATGAGGACAAACGTTCGGACTGTCGGTCGAGTAGCGTTGATGTGTTCAATGTTTTATCAAGGCTGACGGAGAGGCTGGTTGTTGTCGTTGTTGTGATGCTGTTTGGGATGGTCTTCAAATCTTTCTGGTGTTCCATCACAGTTGGCTGGTATTGAACTGAAGCCCGGGTACGCAAGGGGTTGAATGGTCGGATGGCCCCATTCACCTTTTTGTACGAGAATTGTTTTATTAACTAACACATCTATATATTTGGAGATAATTTTATTAAAATAATAATAGCAATCGTTAGAATAAAATCTGTATTAAAATTGGTCGTTTGTTTTAAACGCACTAAAAACTAAACAAACACAATCATGATAACATTCAAATAGTTGGAATTTTTCTTATTAATCAGATGTCTTGCACGTGCATGCGATGTCTACTAATTCTATTACAAATAATTATTGTATGGTTATTTACAACAATTAGAAATAATTGGAGAATGATTGATCAATTACTTTTTAATAAATACTCTATTAATGGCAAACCAACAAGCAGGAATCGATTTGTTTTAATTTACAATCGGTCAATATCTTTTAAAGCCGGTCTATTTTGTCAATGGATTGATACGACTTGAGATTTGCCATTCAAAAATAATAACAAGTTTGAGTGTCGTGAATACTGAATACATTTAAATATATTTAAAAAATTTCTTGCCAATAAGTTTTTGAGTCGATCAAATTTGAACAAAACTTCATATCCTTCGATGAATGCCGATGTTGAAACTAAGGTGCGTGCTTATTGTTTGGGATGCAGTTTCTGGGTCGGATGTATGAAATTAATGATTTTCAACTATTTTCCGTAAGAAAAGCGTGATTAAGTGACAGTGTATGAGAAGATGTGTGTGGCGTTGTATGTGACGATTTGTGTGATACGTGGTTGTATATTTGAAAGAATTGCACGGGCAGGACAATAAAAGCATTAGAAGCAAGCGATATGAATGCAAGCAGACTACATTTGTCCAACGATGCTTCATTCAAGAAAACATTCCCTTTCAAAAGGTGGGTTTTGTTTTTAAATCACCAAATCAACATTTTCAATACTTTTTGCAAACTCAATTTAGTAAATTAAAAAACAAGGTTTGTTCATTGAATAAATTAAATAACGTTTCATCTGCAGCTTTTCAACTCGGTCAATTGTTTTGACTTTTTAACAATTTTTCAAACTGCCTTAAAATTAAAAGAAATCATTTGAAATTATTTTAATGTATCTTTGATGTGTGTTGGCACCAAAATTTTGCATGGACTGAGTTTTCTGCAGCCACATTACCAATCAGACCGAGGGAAACAATTTTTGCTTGCCAATGACGAGGAGATTTTCGTTTTATATTATTAATATGATTTTTTCATAGAATCGTTTGTTACAAGTTTCAAGAAATAACTAACTCTTTCTATGTTGAGACTTTCCGGCAACCCGCACTCCTACCAATCAGCAAGAAAGAAATATTAGAGAAAAACAATTCCAACTGCCCAATTTACAGCACAATTTTTTAAAAGTTGACAATACTAACTCTCGGCAATTAAGAACAACTCTCGAGTTCATCCTGACACAGGCCGCGAGCATGGAATGTTTGCATTATTTGGTCATGGAAATGCCAACATTTTCTATGTACTTGAATGGGCAGAATGGTTTTCATTATGTATTAGAGAACTAGCACCGTAAATTGATTTTTATTGGAATGTGGCGCTAATATAATGAATTAGGCTGGTAGTTTCTTACTAGATTCATGTAGTACTCAATTCTCTAAACATGAAAACGTATAATTTTGTAATGGAAATCCCGACATTTTTATATATAGTATCTTGAATCGACAGAAATGAAATCGATATAAACATGCACTATCGTTTCATTATTTTCCGGATTATGGTTCTGATATAGTGAATAAGATGGTAGTTTTTACTAAATTTATGTAGCACTCATCTTCTAAAGACCAGCCACAAAAAAATCAAAATAGTTGTTTTTATTTGAACTCATTTGATTATAAAATTTATGCAAGACATTGTCAAGTTATTTGTTATGCAGTCAGTCATCAGTCGAGGCGTATAGATTGGTGGACTTTACGATGTTTGATAAAAAGAAGACCAAGTTGTCGAGGATAACATGAAAGCAGAGTTGGGACAGATGATGAAAAATTGTTAACATAAACAAATATGTATATGATCCATATAATATTTACGATAATTAATGTAAAACTGTTTCAAATTGCTTAATGAAGCAAGACTCAAGCAGATTTCAAAATCATTCATAAGCTGGGTGGAAGAGTCTGACGCAAAATGAGCGCATCATAAATTTTTATTTTGTCTACCAATGAATTTAACCAAAAATGAAATAAAAATAAGTTCACCTTTGAACAACAATTAAGTGCTTTCATGCACATGACAAACTTGATTAGCAAAAAATTGAATAAATTTGATTCTCAAATCACTCGTTAAAAATTCATTTGTTTAATATGTAGTTTAATGCATGGCTGTTTATTTGTTTGTTGGCTTTGCACAAATCAGTTTGCAAATTGACAATCTCGAGGACGAACGAAATGTAATTTGGAAAGCATTTCTTTATTACATTCCGGCACTAATTGCAATAGTTTTAAAACAGTGATTCAGTCAAAGTGTGCAAAGTTTTGAAGTAATAAAATAAATCTACTGCGTACCGGCTTTGAAAATTTGCAAGATTTCATGAAATATTCCAAATGATGTTCGAATAGGTTTTGACTGAAGTAAACTATTTTATTTAATGACATGATATTAACTTGTTCCATAGAACTCAGTATTTCAAAAACTCACCTAAATTATGCCCCGATTGGATACACCTGCCTCACGCCGTTTGCCGCGCTCAATTTTAAAATAATTTCATAAAATATTTAATACGATTAAATAACGAAAAGTTTAAAACGTATTTTTTGATTTTCAAAGCTTACTTGATTACAGTCCATTTGCCTAAATGAGATTAAAAAAACATTTAAAAAACATTTTAAAAAGTGTAACATGAAATGAAAAAACTGTCAAAAATAATTTGTTGCAAGCCAGCCAAAATTTTTTAAAGAAGTTAAAAGCCAAATTTTTGCAAAGACGCAAATTTACGTTCAGAAATCAGCAATAAATCATTCTAAAAATAACTGCCGAGTTACATGAAATTCATTTATTTTTCCATAGTTTCCATGTTTTTCAATTTTTTCTTTTTCTTTTTTATCTGAGATAAAATATTTTTGAAACGCCAGTTAACTAATTTTTTAAATATTAAAAACAGATCATAATATTTAATTTAGCTAGTTGACGTTAATACGCAAACTTCGCTATTCAAAAACACTGGTGCTAATATAAACTCATGACAATGTAATTGATTTGCATTTGTAAATAATGAAACGGCATCAACAGAAATTGTCATCTACTGAGATATAATTAACATAATGAATTCATTACATTGCGGTCATATCAGCAAGAGAACACACCTCAACAGACCACTGGACGTAGACAACTTCGACGCCTTCACCCAACAGCACACAACAACATTCGACAACAACACACAACAACTAACCACCAGCCCAATGCAACAGCGACATCATTAACTTAAAAAAACATCAGCATAAATCAACACGCGCCACTATAAAACGTGCCGGCAGATCCAGCTGAGCATCGTGACAACAGAGTTTTCAATTCATTCACAAGCTCATCCATCTCTGCTCGTGTTTCGCTTTTGTCAGCAGTGGAACAACATGTCAGATTGTTTGGCTGACTAATCAATGAAATATTGATGTCAGTATTGTTTGCATAATGCAATCCGCTTCAAGTGAGATAATTGCTGCTGTTTATTTTTTGTAACAACACAATCAGCCTATCGCTTGTTTTCAAATAACAAACTCCAATAGCGCAACACGCCAGTTTATTTTGGCGGGACCCCAAAGACGATGTCGACGACGACATTTGCCTGCCTGCCTGCCTGCCTGCCTGCCTGCCTGCCTGCCTGCCTGCCTGCCTGCCTGCCTGCCTGCCTGCCTGCCTGCCTGCCTGCCTGCCTCCCTGCCTGCCTGCCTGCCTGCCTGTCTGTGTAGTATCTTATTTACTATGGTAAAAATACATTGAACAACATTAGTGATGGTGCATTCTCAATATTAAAAATGTTAGAGAAATAAACTACAATAATACTAGCACCACTATTACTACTCTTACTACTACTACTACTACTACTACTGCTGCTACTACTACTACTACTACTACTACTGCTGCTGCTGCTGCTACTTTTACTACTACTACTACAAATACTAATGATAATAGAAACCAAAGTAACAAAATATTATGATATAATGTCGTTGTCAATAGCATCAGCAACTTCACTCCCAGCATGTTATTATTATCGATGCCACAGTCATTTCTGCTTTGTTTTAGCGCTTTTTTTATATTTTCCCAATAATGTTATCAGTATTTTTACGTGTTGGTTGAACGTACGGACGGACGGCTCGTATTCACACAAAGAGGTGTGGCGTATTGCTTGCCTGCAACGAATTCCAAACAGGTTAAGATATAACGCAATTTAATGCAGTTTTAACAGGATACAACGCGATGCTGTGTATTTTGCTTATTGTTGTTTCCATGTGGCTGTTGTCATTTATATTTTTTGTTGTTGTCATGTGATTTTTTGTAGTTGCTTACTTTGTTGAGTGACATCTAGTGAGTTTCGTGACCTACCATGCTACTGCGTCGTGTGTGTGTGTGAGTGAGCTGCTTGCTGGCTCTTGAAGATGAATTATGCATTAGTGGATACCTTTCTGGTCTGTCGTGTATTTGTCCTGTGCTGTTTGTCGTCTGGCGTGTTTCTCCGAAGTTGTTTTTACATTAAGACAGTTTGTTTGTTTGTTTGCTTGTTTGTTAGTAC